TCACTCATTCCATCCCGTCCGAGACACAATACGTGAGCACTGACTTTTGAAAACCTCCAGATGACGGTCTTCTACTGAAACGCAGGCTTTATGACTACAGAACACAATAACACCCGCAAAATTAAGATCTCAAAACCGTAAGGCGGATATGACCAACAGTGACGCAGTATACGCGACTTTTCGACTTCACTGAAACGACACTTGGCCGCCACAGGTGTCCTGCGTAAGCTGATCGAGCTTTGGAAATGAGTGCGATTATCTCCTTTGATGCGATACCATCATTGATCACGCAACTACCTAAGTAGGAAAAGTAAACCACCATAACTAATTCCTAGACATTTACTTTCAGAACGAGAGTAGGCGAGAAGGCGCAAAGCACATACCGAAAGTGGTAACAGTACTTGTTAGTCTATCAAGTGCGCTTTGCGCGTCCACCGTACGTTCGAACAGACAGACAAGGTCATCGGTATACTCCAAATCACAGTTATTTTTAGCTGCCCATTCAATACCTACGCTTTGGAGACCACTAAGTGCGTTCTTCAGTATTTCGTCCGAGACGGAATTGAACAGGATCAGCGAAAGAGAGCACCCTTGACGAACGGCCTACTTTATCACAGACCTTTACACGACCAGGGGTATAGGAGTACAGCGACCTTAGTAAGATGACGTAATTCTGAGGCTTTCCTTTTCGAAAAAGGAATCCATCAGAGCTTCGCGGTCAACTGAGACGAACGCGCCTTTCAGGTAAAGAAACACTGGGACCGTTGGTCGACGGTGGGTGTGACGCAGCCCAAGGACCTAACACAAAGTAAACATTTGATCAATATTTCCAAGACTGGGTCGAAATCCAGCTTGCCCTTCACGGATGTTGGTCTCTCTTAAAGACGTCAGACGTCGGAGTGTGACCGAAGCTACCGAATCACTTCGGTGGCGATCATGATCAAACTAATCCCGCATTGGTTAGAACCGCTGGGCAACAATAGCTAGGGAAATGGAATTAGCAGTTGCATTAGGGAATAGTCAAAGACTGTCCCAACTGATGCGCAAGACGGGAGGTAGGCGATCCACAGTTAGTTCAAGAATCTGCAACAAAAGTTGACAAGCTATTCACAATAGAGAACAACGGCTTAACCGTTTGGCGGAGTGCTTCAGCGAACAGTTCAGCTGACCTGGCTGCTTCATCTACAACTGGAGCTCCGTGGGCAGTGTCATGCGATACTCCATCAGAAGCGGAAGTTCAGTCTTGTATTCAAGCTCGAAAGCGAGAAAAGGCAGCAAAACCGGATAAGCTCCCTCCCACCCTTTTCAAGATGGGAGCGATAACTTCGTATGCTCTAATACTACATTAAAGTGCANGGGGCGCATTCCTTTATCTCGGGGCGAAACACACCGAAAGAGCGGGGATAGTTGTAACGGCATTGAAACTGAAATGGTCGGGTATGTGTTTAGTATTAACAACTCTTACGTTCCCTGTCCCTTTCAGGCGCACAATGGTTGAATACGGTGAACACTAACAACGAAGAATCAGAAGATTCAGGAAATACATGAGAACTCAATCGATATTAACCTTGTGTACTTTCCCTCCCCAGATACAGTTCGTACATTGCATTTTGCCGTTCGTTCCGTGCGTCAGTATGCGTTCGTGCGCGACAACCGTGTTCTCCCTGTGTGAGCGTGTCTGGCAATGAGAGGTGCGATCGAGTGTCGGTAGTGACGAGTGTCTATTGCTATTATTTCAGAGCGTCCCTGCGGGACCTCATACGTGCTGCGTGAATCCCGTACCCACTTCATATCTGGTGCCAGAGGTAGGATCGTGGAAGATCGAAAGGAGCAATCAGCAACAGCCTTCCCTGTG